CAACACCACTGTCACTGGTCAAAAACATCATAGCAACAGCACAGAAACAGCCCAGAACACCATAGCAACTCCCCGGTTACCGCTCTCAACTCATCATCATCGTTTTGTTTAGAGCCAATTCACTGTTTTCACAACTGAACAAATCACACACACACACACACACACACACACACACACACACACACACACACACACACACACACACACACACACAGACAGACAGACACACACACACACACACACACACACACACACACACAGACAGACACACACAGACACAGACACACACACACACACACACACACACACACACACACACACACACAGACACACACACACACACACACACACACAGACACACACACAGACAGACACACACACACACACACACACACACACACACACAGACACACACAGACACAGACACACACACACACACACACACACACACGCTGGTATTGATCTGCAGCTGTGGTCATTCAGTCTCAGTAATCCTCCACTGGAGAGTGTGTGTGTGTGTGTGTGTGTGTGTGTGTGTGTGTGTGTAATAGTCATGGAGAGCTCTTCTGACACACTGCAGAGAGACGCTCGTCTGCTCATTCACAGCACAACAGGAAACTTCAGCTGCTGTGTGTTCATACGGGCCCGTTCCCTGATCCAGCAGAACCCAATTATTAAACACAGGGGAACTTTCAGGACGTCACACACTCACTCACAGAGATCAGAACTCCCCCCCCCCTTCTCTCTCCGCAGACCCTCATTATTTATCATTACTTCAACTCTATCTCGTCCCATTACGTTGCCATGGTAAAGGTCCAGCTGGTGCCTGTTGTCATGGTGATAAAGTGCACAGGGGGTGGTGGGGGGGTCATATATTAGGAGTTTTGCATATGTAAATCACACGCTCCGGTTAAAGTGAGCCAGAGTTAATCAGTGGATCAACAGCAGGCGCACCTCCAGCGTTCACCTCATACCTGCCCAAACACACCCCTCTCACCCTCACAGGATCAACTCATGTGTTGAAGGCAATGTGAGCATCACGGTGTGCAGCGGGTACAACTGCCTCACAGCAAGAAGGTGGCTGGTTTGAGTCCCAGCTGGGTCAGTTTGTGTTTCTGTGTGGAGTTTGCATGTTCTCCCCGTGTTGGTGTGGGTTGGTGTGGGTGCTCCGGTTTCCCCCACAGTCCAAACACATGCGCTATAGGGGAACTGATCAACTACACTGGCCGTAGTGTATGAGTGTGTGTGTGAATGAGTGTGTATGGGTGTTTCCCAGTGATGGGTTGCAGCTGGAAGGGCATCGGCTGTGTAAAACACATGCTGGAATAGTTGGTGGTTCATTCCGTTGTGGCGACCCCTGATGAATAAAGGGACTCAGCTGAAAATGACTGAATGAATGACCCATGCTGGTTGACCGGATCTTCCCTCTCCACTGCTCCACATAGCAGGAATATCTCCGCACATCCTAAATTATTCAGTAGGAGATATTTTTTGCTGTTCCGGCTTTTGGGATGTGTCTGATCCACATGTCTGCGCTTCATCTTAATGCAGTCAAATGAAGTCCAGCACAGATTAGGTTTGAGTCGGTTTATTCACGTTAGACCAACACCAATCACACACAGCACTGACACCCACTCAGACTAGTACAGGTGCACTACACACCGAGGCTTTTTCCAAAACAAAGAACGTCTTATTGAGATGCTGCATTCAAGCTGCTGCAAGCCATGTTTGAAAAATGCAAATGTGGACTGATCAGCCAATCGGCATTGAGGGGCGTGGCCACTCTTGATGGGGGAGGGGTTTAGAGCACAACACACAGACATCACAGACAAAAGAGATAAAGAGGAATATACAGTGCTCGGCATGAAAGAGTACACGCCATATAGAAGAGGAACATTTCTCAAACCAGTGCATCTGATTGGGCTTTGATAACATTAAATTAAAGGTACATAGTTACTTTTAATTTAAAGAAATGAAGATTCTGCCTGGCCCTGGTCATAATTAATGAGCACACAATATGCACATTTATTAAAGGGGTGGTCCACTACGATATCATGTTAAACTTTAGTTGATGTGTACTGGGTTGAGCAGGGTTGAGCAGTGGGTAGCCCCATCGCCTCACAGCAAGAAGGTTACTGGTTCGAGTCCCGGCTGGGTCAGTTGGTGTTTCTGTGTGGAGTTTGCATGTTCTCCCCGTGTTGGCGTGGGTTTCCTCCACAGTCCAAACACATGCGCTATAGGGGAATTGGGTAAGCTGAATTGTTCGTAGTGCATGTGTGCGAATGAGTGTGTATGGATGTTTCCCAGTGATGGGTTGCAGCTGGAAGGCCATCCGCTGTGTATAAAATGTGCTGGATAAGTTGCCGGTTCATTCCGCTGTGGCAACATCAGATTAATAAAGGGACTAATCCAAAAAGAAAATGAATGAATGAATGAATGAATGTTGTGTATGTAGCTGTGTGGACATGAACAGCATCTCTGACTGTAAGTCGCTCACAGTTCAATGCAAAGGGAAATGTTTTACAGAGTTAGCTTAGCAAAGCCTACAGCGAACAAACTTTGGGGACTACAAAGCATTCAACAGGGCTAATGACATCACAAGGGTTATGATGAGCATTCACCACACGCACACACCCTGCGCAGCGGAGGGGTGTGGCCAGAGGCGCTGTAATGTTCTAGCAGAGAAAGCTAAAATTGCGTCCAAACGCTGCTATTCCCACAGAGCTTCTTCTGTTTCTGTATTTGGACTTCCAAAGGACACAACACAACGAGAGAAGAGCTTACAGTTTAATTAAATGATGTTCCAGAGAATTATAAAACAGGTATAGCTCTAGCATTTGACAAGGGAGAACTTCCAGAATCTCTCATTGTACCAAAACTATTTTTGAAATTATCCAAATTAAAAGTTTCACATAATAAAAATAATAATAAATATAATAATGATAATAATAATAATAATAATAATAATAAAATTAATATATAATAATATTATTATTATCCCCTCCCCCCATTTTTCATACCATATACAGGTGTTTATGAATTTATTATGCATCATATTGATTCATCAGGCCTTTTGGTAACTTCTTTTGCTCAAAACTATTTTAATTTTAGCTACAGATAAAGTTTCCCATAACATTTTAATAAGATAGAACATTTCAGGCAGTTTGTCTTTTGCACTAAACATTTTACAGTCTTTTTTATTTCACTAGTGAGAGGTGTATAGCTGTTTCAGTCCATTGTTCCTGCAAAGACACATCTTACACCTCTCACAGACGCATGTGAGAAGTAATTGCAAAGTTCTTTTGCCCTTTAGTACTTCCACATCTATCATTTTGTTTTGACAAATGTAGTACAAAAAATCCAAAAGCAAGGCAAGTTAAGGTGCTGTAATCATTTGGTAAGGAAATTAAATTGAGAAGTTTGGGGAGGGATGAGATGTAATTCTTTGCGATGTAATTCAACATGCGTAACGTAATTATACCTTTCACTACCTCATACTATTTCAGTTGTGTTCAGGACTGTGAAATGTATTTGTTTGAAGCACGTTGATGAGGAAAAAATATCTTTTATTTATTGATGGAAATAGTTTGGCAATAAAATTGGTTTTAGGGGGGGGGGCGCAAAAGTTAAAGCCGCAAGCCCATCAGTAAATGCGCAGTTGCACCCCTGTGCTCAGATGCTGTCAATAAATATGTAAGTTGGCTGTTTTTGTATGACGATTCTTCATCAATAAACAATAATAACCCGCAATATGTCTCATATTCAATTGACACTTTTAAGTACACTACTTGTTATTTTAATATACCATACAGTCATTTTTGGCCAGTATCGGATCGGTATCGCCGATACTTGCCTTCATTTTACATGGTATGGGATTGGATAGAAAACCAGTGATATCGCACATCACTACTGAGTAGCTGTGTATCATCCAAGTAAGATATGTGAAAACATAACCTGATTTTCTACAAGTGCAGCATGAGCACATACTGCTTAGCATCTTATAAACACAACTAAGCCTTAAATATACACTCTGGACCACCCCTTAAAAACAAATGTGCACAAAAATAAGTAGGATAAACTTTTTATCCGGTAAGAGAAACTGCATAAATCCAGAAATTAAATGCTGCATGTGCATGTGATATGGGGGAAATGATGATATGCATGCGTCTGGGGGAATATGCATGGATTCATGGGTCTACGCATGTGTTTTTGGTCATATGCAATCAATTGCGCATATATACATGGTTCTGTGGGCTTATACATCTGTTGTTTGGTGTATTTACATGTTTTTGTAGGGGCATTATTTATATGTTTGAGAGAGTTATATATAGCTTATGGGTGTTAGCATGCATTTGCAGGCCTGTTTTTGTTGACGTATATGATGTGTTTGTGGTTATATATATATTGCTGTATATACAGTATATATAATCAGGTGAAGTCAGAATTATTAGCCCTTTTGTTAAATTTATGTTCTTTAATATTTTTCCACCAATTTCTGTTAAACTGAAAGTAAAACACATTTCTGCACATAATAGTGTTAATAACTCATCTCTAATCACTGATTTATTTCCTCTTCATCATGATGACAGTGAATAATATTAGACTAGATATTCTTCAAGACACTAGTGTTCAGCTTAAAGTGGCATGTAAAGGCTTCACTAGGGTAATTAGGGTAAAGTTAGGGTAATTAGGCAAGTCATTGTATAACAGTGGTTTGTTCTGGAGACAATCCAACACTAATATTGCTGAAGGGGCCAATAATATTGACCTTAAAATGAGTTTAAAACTATTAAACACTGACACTGCTTTTATTCTAGCCCAAATAAAACAAATCAGACTTTCTCTAGAAGAACAAATATTAGAGGAAACACTGTGAACAACTCCTGAATCTGTTCAACATCATCTGGGAAATATTTGATAAAGAAACTCACAGGAGGGCCAATAATTCTGACTTGCAAATGCGTCAATAGAACAAAAGCAGTCATAGAATAATGAAAATACACTGGTAACACAGTCTGAAGAGCGTCTCTTTAGTTCCGTGGATTGTTTTACATGATTGTGTTTCTGCAGATTTACAGTAGCGCTGTCCTGTGACATCGCTCGCCCTTTGACCCCTCACAGGTCACCTGAGATTGGTGGGCGTGTCAGTCAAACCCAGGCGTGGAAGTCCTGCCTCCAGCCCAAGCCCCTCCCTTGGTAACGAGCTCCAGTGATTGGCTGAAAATATAAAAGAAGGTGGAGCCGTCTGAGAAGAGCGCAGAAGGTTGCTGCGGCAATCACGACCAGTGGTGACATCATGACAAAGCCCAGGATGATGAGGGCGGAGCAACTGTTGTCGTCAAGGTAACTGCAGAGAGGAGCAGGAGAAGCCACAACCTGTTGAGCAAACCCAGCCAGCATCAGTATCCTGCGGGTGTTGATGGAGATATATACACCTTCATATATAAAAGTATACACTACCTGACTAAAGTCTTGTGATCTATTCAAGATTTAGCAACAGAAAGAATAAACTGACTTCTAGTTGTTGATTTGGTGTCAGAAGTGTCTCTGTGAAAGGTGAAGGCCTCTAGATTTTGCTGATTTGAGCTCAATAAATCTGATCATGTCTCGATGTTGACTGATTTGATGAGGACAGTGCGGTCTGACTCTGCTCAGACTAAAGTGTCATCACTGAACAGAAATAATGTCCAGTATAGAATATAAAGTCCTGCTGCAGTGGAGACAGAATGAATATTGTGTCTGACTCCATCATGAGCTTGGAGGACTGCATCCATACATCTCTGACATGACTCACATCACTGATTAATAAAGTCATCTGGAATGAAGAAGAAAGCTTCAGCAGGATCCCAGAGTTCATCAAGAGTCTCTGTGTTCATCTTCAACACCTCCTCCTTCATCAGCTCAGTAATGTTGATGTCTGGTGACTGGGCTGGCCAATCCTGGAGCACTCTCTGCTTTCAGGAGCTTTGATGTGGAGGCTGAAGTATGAGCAGGAGCGCTATCCTGCTGGAGAATTGTCCCTCTCCTGTGGTTTGTAATGTAATGGGCAGCACAGATGTCTTGATACCTCAGGCTGTTGATGTTGATCATCCACTCTGCAGATCTCTCGCACACCCCCACACTGAATGAACCCCAAACCATGACTTCTCCTTCACCAAACTTGACTGATTTCTGTGAGAATCTTGGTCCATGCTGGTTCCAGTAGTTCTTCTGCAGTATTGGTGATGATGCAGATCAGCAGATGATCCAGCAGAGAAATCCACCTTCTGACACTTTTACACATCATCAACCAGAAGACCAGATACTACAGTATCTGCTGCTCTTACAACTGAGATCCTGACTTTTGTCAGGTGGTGTGTATCTATCTATCTATCTATCTATCTATCTATCTATCTATCTATCTATATATATATATATATATATATATATATATATATATATATATATATATATATATATATATATATATATATATATATATATATATATATATATATATATA